CTGCACGTATTGGCAAATGGAAGCACCTTGGAAGTTCATTACATGTACAGTAGAAGTGGAGTCAGGCCGTACAAATTGAAATACAAGTGGCCTGGAGCAGCTTCCTCAAAACAAGAAATGTAATACGGAACCAATAATAATAAAAAAATAAATAAAACTGGCTTTGAGAAATATGCATTTGATGTTGCTGTGTATCCTCAGTTCTACTGAATGGGATACATAGGCAAGTTTAAAATTAAATAAAAACATTTGAAATGTAGATTTGTCACAGGATATTAATAATTTTTTGTATTGAGAGAGTGACTGACAAAGAAGTGCTAAGACAATATGAATAAAAAGCCAAGACATCATCATAATATCATGTGCCGTCAAGGGTTTTCCAGGTAGAGAATACTCAGAAATATTTGACCGTCCCCTTCTTCGGGCGGGAACTGGTCTCAGGGAATTTGAATTCCAAGAGGGTTGAAAACAAGAAGGGTCTCTTCTCCTCCTTTCACAGGTATTTGACCGTCCCCTTCTTCGGGCGGGAGCTGGTCTTTTAGGGAATTTGAATTCCAAGAGGGTTGAAGACAAGAGGGGTCTCTTCTCCTCCTTTCACAGGTATTTCCTCCGGGCTACTGTGAGCAGAAGGCTAAACGATGTGGTCAAAGAGATGGACATCGTTGTGCATACACTCAGCACGTATCCCGAACTCAACTCCTCCATCAAAATGGAAGTAGGGATTGAGGACTGCTTGCACATTGAATTTGAGTACAATAAATCCAAGTAAGCACCCTGCTAATAAATCTTAAGGATGCATCCTCAGCTTTTTGCTGAGTGACATTTTTGTATATTTTTTTTTGTTTGTTGTCTTCAGCACCCGTTAAACAATTTGTAAAAAAAAAAAAACCCACAAACCAAACCCTTTTTATTCTGTCATTTTTCTGTTTTTGTTCTCCTTGAAATTCTCCCTGATTTCTTGGGTGATTTTAATTTTTTATCATTTGGCACCAGCCACAGTGAAGACAAAAAAGTATTTAAAGATTAGTAATAATAGCATGGAAAGGGAAGTTCTCAAGTCATAGGCAGAGCCTGGAAAAGTTACTTTTCTGGACTACGAGTCCCAAAATTCCCCTCCCAGCGTGGCTGGCTGGTGGCCTAAGATTTTAGACCTTTCCCAAGGTTGCGACCGGGCTGGACGTCATGTTCTCATTGATTTCCCCTCCGTCCCAGATACCATTTAAAAGATGTGATTGTGGGGAAGATCTATTTCCTCCTCGTGCGGATCAAGATCAAACACATGGAGATTGACATCATCAAGAGGGAAACCACAGGGACCGGACCCAACGTCTACCATGAAAATGACACCATTGCGAAATACGAGATCATGGATGGAGCACCAGTGAGAGGTGAAGATGCCTCAAAACCATGGGGGGGGGCTGCACATGATCCCTCTTCATCCCAAGGGCTCCCTTCCTTCCTGGGCTCCCTTTGCAGGGTGGGGCCGTGGTCCAGCAGTGGGCGGGGTCAAAGCCGAAACGGATTCTAGCAAAGCCATAGCTATCCATCCGTCCAAGACCTCTCTGGTCATCTCTTACAACAGTAGTTCCAAATCTTGGCTCCCCAAGATGTCCTTGGACTGCAACTCCCAGAAATCTTGCCTAGCACAGCTGGTGGGGAAGGCTTCTGGGAGTTGCAGTCCAAGAACATCTGGGGAACCCAAAGTTGGAAAGTAGTGTCTGACACAGACATGGGCTGTAGTAAGCCTTCCTGTTGGCCCCCATGTGAGACTTTTCTTCAAGCTAGGAGCTTCAGGGGAAACAGAGCTGGGGTAGGTGGGAAAGACTCAGTCGAACAGGCCCCGAAGGTCACATCTAGGTCCATGAGTTGCCAGGCACCCAGTTGTTTTCCCACAGTTCCTTGAAAAATGAAATCTGAAAAAAAAATGTTCTGAATTTTACGGGGGAGGACTCCCTCGAAAGGCCCCACAAAGCATTTTAGCCCCTTGTAAATGAACAAGGAAACAGGTGCATTGTGTGTGTCCCCCGACACTATTTATTTATTAATTTTTAGTGATGTTAGCAGTTGCTCTGTTATTTGCAAAGGCTAAAATGGTTCCCATTGTTATTGATCCCGTGTTGCTTCCAAGCTCTCGCTCGACTTGTCTCAGAGGGTGGCCGGTGCGTGGTTTCATGTTGGCTTCTGGAGCCGCAAGGGGAACGGAGCCCATGTTTTCCCATTCAAAATCCATGTCTCGCTGGAATCTTGCGCCCCACCTACGGTTGCTCTTGTGGGGATACGGATGCTCTTAAGGAATAAAAAGAAGCTGCGTTGCTGTTCGATGGCTCTGTTTATTAGCCATGGTTTGGTTTGGTCTCCCTTGCAGGGGAATCGATTTTACGGGAGAGGGCTCCCTCGAAAGGCCCCACAAAGCATTTTAGCCCCTTATAAATGAACGAGGAAACTGGTGCATTGTGTGTGTGTTCCCCGACACTATTTATTTATTTATTTATTTTTAGTGATGTTATCAGTTGCTCCGTTATTTGCAAAGGCTAAAATGGTTCCCGTTCTTATTGATCCCGTGTTGCTTCCAAGCTCTCGCTCGACTTGCCTCAGAGGGTGGCTGGTGCGTGGTTTCATGTTGGCTTCTGGAGCCGCAAGGGGAACGGAGCCCAGGTTTTCCCATTCAAAATCCATGTGTCGCTAGAATCCTGCGCCCCACCCACGGTTGCTCTTGTGGGGATACGGACACTCTTAAGGAAAAAGAAGCTGCATTGCTGTTCGATGGCTCTGTTTATTAGCCGTGGCTTGGTTTGGTCTCCCTTGCAGGGGAATCGATCCCCATTCGGCTCTTCCTCGCCGGCTACGAGCTGACGCCCACCATGAGGGACATCAACAAGAAGTTCTCGGTGCGCTATTACCTCAACCTGGTGCTGATTGACGAGGAGGAGCGGCGCTATTTCAAGCAGCAGGTGAGTGAGATGGAGGAGCGTAACAGGGTTTTCGCAGGGCGTCCTGCCTTGGTGGCACCCCACAACCGCCCCTTGGCCTCTTCTTGCACCCACATGCGTGGGGCGCATCCTGCTGATGCTTTAGGGACAAACCGCGTTCTGCCTCTCTCCTTTGACTAGGAGGTGGTTTTGTGGCGCAAGGGAGACATCGTGCGGAAGAGCATGTCCCATCAGGCTGCGATCGCCTCTCAGCGTTTTGAAGGGACGTCCTCCCAGACGGAGAGCAGGACACCCACTCAGCCTTCAGAGAACAACGGTCGGCAGTAAGAGCATCCGGAGGGGGAGCGAGACGTTCCCAGAAGGACATCCGCGGTTGCACCTTTGAGCTGTGGAAGGAAAAAGACAGGAAACAGATCTTTCATCAGAGATTTGCGAAAACAAATTGTCAGGTTGTATATGTGTGTGTGTGTGTGTTTTCTTCTTTCTTCCTTTTTATCATAAGGACTAGCAACTTGAAGGATGGGAAGGGAGTCGGCACATGTAACAAGGAAGCCTGCCCCCACCCACCACCTCCCTCTCTATTCGGTACTCCGTCGGTATGGAAGAAAGTCTGGGTCCAAACTTTCCCGAGTGTAAGGGGAACATTGTTAGTATTCAGAGATGCGGACCCGAAAGCTTTTTAAAAATTCCAGATGTAAAGATTCTTGCTTGTTTATCCATATGCTTGAAGATATTGTTGGGGTTTTTTTTTAAAAAAAAGAAAAGTTATCTTTCTCTCCCCTCGTTGGCATGATTCAGTCCTGCGTCAGGCGTGCCGTGAGGATGAAAGGCGCGTTTAATGCTCACGCACGAGGATGGGGAAATCCTTTCTCTAGTGTCTCCAAAACCTCTGTTGCTAAGGGAATTCTTTGTCAGGCATGAAAATGAGGAGCTGCATCTCGTTCGCAGTGGACGGAAAAGTTTTGCGTCTCGAAGTGGCAGTAAATCATTGCTTCTCTGGATGTTTTGAACTCCAAGGCCTAGATGGGTTGGCCAGCGGGACCTGTGGTCAGAAATGGTGTGCGCTGCCGTCAAAACCAGCGGAGGGCCAAAGGTTCGTCTCCCTGTTCTAAAATCGGCAAAAAGGAAGGATGATTGAACCTTGGGGAAGACGGTTTGGTGTCTCTGTGTGAGTCTGTGTTCTGAATGGATCTCGGAAGTGCAGTAACTCTGGTGGACAAATTGAGCCGTTTGGGTCAGCGCCGATGGGGATGGGATGACCCTACTTGGATGGATGGATGGATGGATGGATGGGGCAAAAAGGATGGATGATTGAACCTTGGGGAAGATGGTTTGGTGTCTCTGTGTGAGTCCATGTTCTGAATGGAACTCTGAAGTGTAGTAACACTGGTGGACAAATTGAGCTGTTTGGGTCAGCTCCGATGGATAGGTGACAACCCCACTCGGATAGATGGATGGAGGTGGGTTAAGCCAAGCCCTGCAGGGGGGCAACAGTGAACCTCTCAGCCGCTTTAAATTGTGGCCCATGGTTTAGATCTTTGTGCTTTCAATCTTTTAAGCCTGTTAGGTCAGATTGAAAAAACACAATTCCACATAGCGAGAGGACTCTTGCAAACTGTCCCAAGAGGCCTCCGAGGGAACCTCGCTGAGGAAGCAGTGATAAATAATTTTGCTTGAAAGGTGGGACTCGAGAGGGAAGGCATATATGCTCTGTGCTTCAAGTGAACGCCCACTTTTCAAATTGGCCTCTGGAGAATTCATTTCTAGGACTTCTGCTCGGAGGAAGTTGAGTGAATCATCCCAACCCACACGTTCCCAAACCGTATGGATTGAGAAAAAGAAAGGGAATAGGCAAAATATTGACTTCAACTCAAGCCTCTGACTCCCCAGAAGGAGCTTCCCTGTTATATCTCTGGAGGATGCCCTGTTCTGAACTTCTGGGGTGGGGAAATCCTGCTAGATCATCTCATCGCTTCTCATCCAGAACAGCAAAAGGTGACCTCGGAGAGAGGATAGCTTGGAAAACCTGAGTGTGACTTTGCTGGTGGGGGATTCTGGGAACTGTAGTCCACCAGAGTAACCCTTACATGTTCTGGCACAGATGAAAGAGCATTTCCCTGTGACCTCTTCTAGAGGCTCCCTGAAATATGTCGGGGGAAGAGTCTCTTTTCTAGGCCCTCTTCCATATGAGGCTTTAACCAAGAGCACTAGAGGGAGATGTGGGATGATTGCCAGCCAAGGAAGCCTCTGCCACTCAGTCGTAGCCCCTTCTCGAACACCGAGTGGCAAGTGGTCTCAACTGGTATGGTGATACTCAATGTTGTCATTAAAAAAAAAACTTTTAAGGGACCTGCAGGCGCAAGTGACCAAAAGTATATTCTGGCGCCAGAGAAGTAAGAGGTAACAGAGCTTTTTCTCCTGACTGTTGGACCCTGTTCTTCTGGACTGAGGAACTTGGCTTACCCTCTGCTGAAAAACCAGAGCCTTCCAGACAAAGGTACATTTTTCCCAAACAGATGCTGGTTGTAACTGTTGTCGTTTTATCTGACCCCCTTCTGTGTGAAGATTAAATAGTTGTGTGTTGTTCTCGAAGCATGGGTTGTAATCTCTTTGCTTGCCCGTTGGTTTTCATCCGTGAAAATGGACTTTTGGAGATAATCACAATCTCTTCTTTGCCGGCCTCGCCCCCCCCCCCCCCAATAATGCACTTTCTTCTGCAGAGGCAGGCCTAAAATCCTGAATGTCAATTCCAAAGATTTGGAACTTCGCAAATCGAGCTACCTGCTCTTCCTCTCTCTGCCCTGCAAAAAAAGTAACTCTGCAAAAAAAAAGTAACTTTGCCCTGTCCCTTTAGAATGGCCTGGCCAAGTTGGGATCGAGCTTAGCAAAGTTTACTTATTTGGACAATTATGGGACCTTGCTGGCTAGGGGACTTTGGGGAACTATGATCCAAAAAAATAATAACAATCATCATAAATTTCCCTGCTCTGAGTTGAAGACATTCAGTGCTGAGTGCAAGCAGCCCTCTGCTTCCCCAGACAAAAGCAAAAGGAATGATTCAGTTCCAGTTTCTGTTGAAAAGAAAGCTGAGTGCTGTTTCTAGTCTTACATGACCCTTTGCCATCAGAACGGTGGCAAGATATGGACTCATCCTGTGTATCTTCTATCATCCAACTGCTGACCTCCCATCTGTCTCCAGTCCCAAGAGATCAGTGGTTCTCAAATTGGGGTCCCCAGATATTCTTGAGCTGCAACTCCCAAAAATCCTGGCCAGCACAGCGAGTGATGAAGGATACTGGGAGTTTTAGTCCAAGAACCTCTGGGCACCCAAGGTTGAGAACCGCTGCAGTAGACATGTCATTGTTGTTGGCCAACCAAGCGGTCTTCTGCTGCCGGTTGACAAATCTCTTAGCTGGTAATCCAGGAAGCACTTGAATGTGTTAGGATGATGGAGGAAACCTACTTCTTCAACGACGTGCAGTGGCAAACATTTTTCTTTTTCAGGAGAAAGTTAACATTTTCCAGTTGTACAAAGTTACAGTGGTACGGGATGTGGCCGTCAATATGGAATCTAGCTTGAGAACTTTTAAACTTTCATTTCCAAAGTGACAGCGTGCTTGCTGATGCAGACTCTGCTAACCAGTATGTGAAGAGGTACCGAAATGTCAAGGGAAGGTTAAATAAGGTCATTCCTGCATCCTCTGTATTGGCCATGTTCTCAAGGGTTTGGAAAAGTTATTTTTTTGGTCTACAACCCCCAGATTCCTTTTCCCCTCCCCCCCCCATCAGCATGACAATGGAGGTGGGGGATTCCAGCATCATCAGGACAGTGAATCTGCTCCAGGTTTTGGTCCATACTTTAAAGGAATTATCCAAGAAGCTGAACCTCATTTGGAGCATAAGGTTCAGCATGTCTGAACAGCACCTGCAACATTCAGAGCGTCTACTGCAGAGTTTTCACTTCTTGCTTTCTTCCACAAATAGGAGAAGTAGAATGAATTGGGGGGGGAAGCAAAACATTATGCCACACAATGGACTGGCATTGTATACTTTATATAGCTGACATACACGGGCATCTCGTCCTAGAACTTTAGGTTTGGGCAGATGATACCCCTTTGCCACCTGGCTGTTCCTTTTCCTTGCACTTCATCCCGGTTTCCCAGCGTGGTTTCTGTCCACCCACACAGCGTCTAGTTATTCCTGGGAGAATTAAATTTAACCTGTAGTCCGAGGCAGCAGCGAACGGGGAGGGAGTGCAGACTCTGTAAGAACAGCCAGGAAGGTAGCCAGTCCATAATGATTGGATTGTCACCAGGTTGCATTAAGGGGAGGGGGGGTACGGAAAAGAGACTCCGCGGGTACTCAATAAAGTTGTGCAACTTGTAAATTCTAAGCCTCTGCATTGTTTACACGTTTGTTAATTGTCTTTGAATTGGTTGTATTTTTAAAGGATGGGAGGGTGGATATTTTGCTTTTTTGTCTCCAATAATAATAATAATAAAAAACAGCCTGTCTAGGCTTTCAAAAGTTGAGTGTCAGTGTTTTTTTCTTTCTTTTCTTTTTCTGAGCTTGTGATTATTTCTACCCAGTGGTTACTCTTAGGAAAAAAAGGAAGAAGGGAAGGACGGGGACTTGATCAGCTTCACTGCCCACCTCAGATGGATGCCATGGGCTGTGGGTGTTGGTTGGAATGTGGGGTGAAATATTCTAGATAGACAATGGACCTTCTGTAACATCCCTGATCCTGTCTTGTCGCCTTATGTTTTTTAAATAGACCACATTCTTTTTGTTTCATATGTCCCAGCTTTCCCTTTTTTCCTGCTGTTTTATTTTTTTCTGTGCAGACTCCTATACACTGGCTATTCCCCATCCAGAATCTGGTTTCCACAGTCACACATTTAGATTTTTAGATTAGGCATCATTCCGTCTTGAGAGACTAGGGTAACATGCTCTGTATGGAAGACTTGGAACAGCGTCTAGTGTGGCTGAGGAGGCCAATTCGAGAGTGACAATCTCTTCCACACTGAAGACAAATCCAATCTGACCCCTGTCCAGCTCCCTGCTTTTGCTGCTTTTGTGACTTCCTCTTTGCCTTGGCCTGCTGGACAAGGGTCTCTTCAAATTGGGCGAGGCTGAGATGCAATGGCTGCCTCCAGGCTGAACGCTCAGAGGTCAGGGTTTCCCATCTATTGAGGTCCATTCCTAATGCCTTCATATCCTGCTTGCAGATATCCTTGTATTGCTGTGGTCTCCCTCTGGGGCGATTTCCCTGCACTAATTCTCCATACAGGAGATCTTTTGGAGTCTGACTATCAGCCATCCTCAAAACATGCCCAAGCCAATGTAGATGTCGCTGTTTCATTGATGTATACATGGTAACAATTCCAGCTCGTTCTAGGAATACTCTATTTGGAACTTTGTGCTGCCAGGTGATACTAAAAATGGGTCAGAGACAACGCCTAATGACTATGAAACAACAGTCACACAAGCAGCTGGAGAAATTCCATCCACTGTCTATGGTGCTCCTGGTCTTCCGCAGGCTGTGTGACCGAAAGTGCAACCGGCCCAAGGCGGGCAGCTGGCAAAATGTGGAAACCGCTTGTGCAGTTGCCCACCTGTGGGCAAGACTTCACAGCCCACGGATTCAGGGCTCGAGTTTACTGGGCTGAGGGGACGCATGCATAACTAGCGGCCTACAAAACTTTCTGGAGGCAAAAGAACGTTTAAAAAGATATAAACCTCCCCAGTAACACAGATTATTTCTTTAATTTGGAAGATGTACCACTTAAAAACAAGGCAACCCGTAGTGAACATAACATGGCTCCAGGGATATCCAGATTCTTGCTTCCAACGTCTTTGAAAACCGACGATGGGAGCACAGTAGACATAACGGTTTTGGCTCGTTTCGCCGTGCTTCAACCTCCTTCAAACGTCTATGGCTTCTTCTCTTCTAGGCTCAAAATAAACTCAAATTCCTCTTAAAAGTGGGGCAGGGAGGAGGGTGAGATAAAACAAGTTAGTGCCAAGTCATGGATGTTCCTTGTTCTACCCACTTCCCACCGCTAGGCTGTCAGAATTGAGGAGTCGAGCGTTGCTCAGATGCCCTGCCATTTAACCCTTTGGGTTTCTGAAAGGACCTGGTCTTGAACAGATGGGATGGCCAGCCAATGGTTCTGCATTTGAACCAATGCGGGCAGGAGGGGGACCCTTGTTGGTTTCCTTGAACCTTTTAATGAGATAAGGACTTTTTCAACTAGAGAAAAAAGTAAAGATGTGGGGCATGTGTGTGATCCTAGCACCTCTGGAATTGTTCATGGTTGGAAAAGCAACAGGCAAAGTATATATATATATCAATCAAAACAATCTCAGCTCATGGTGGACTCATGTTGGAAATAATGGCCAGCGTTCACCATTAGCCCAGAGGACAGGAATTGGTCAAAGGTATAAATTACAGAGCTGAGTTCCAACATGAGTTGACCATGAGCAGAGATTGTTTTGATTGTGGAATGGAGATGTGCCAATTTCTGATTTTTGGAGGACAACTCCCGGAATCCCCTAATTCAAATCCCGAAAACATGACTCTGCTACGAAATCCATTGACCCAGATCTATCTTTCGCTCTCCTTTGCTGGAGGTCTTCTAGCAGAACCTCAGCAGGCATATCTTGGAAATGCTGTCACTTCCGGCATGAAGCAGGAGAACTTGGAAAATGGCCTCTCTTGGATCACAACTCCCAGAAGGGTTACCAGATTCTGAGACTTCCCAGGCAAACCGGCAACTTCCACAAGCTTGGAGATGACCCGCCAGCCCTTTCCCAACCCCCCGTTGCTAAGGAAACAAAAATGGCCGCTTCCCAGCCCTTACCATCGGTCAAGGGCTGGACGGACAGCCTCTGTCTTGTGAAAAGAGCCATTTCTTTCAGGGGCCCGCCAGATGTTTTGTGCGCCTGATGATGAGCTTTCAGCTCCGCCAGAGGGATGAACCGCTTGGTCATTCGCACAAACTGTACATCAACCTACAAACACAAGGACAGGCAGGCGAATGAAGGAGATGCTAACCATAGCAATTGACACACAATACCGGGAAGCCCATTGACTCCAAGAAAGGCCTCCTTGCATTCAGGAAGCAGAATTTTAAGATTTCAGGCTGAAATAGAGGTGGAGGGGGGGAAGAGAAGGAGCTTCATTTCTTTATATGTTCAAACATTTTTCTTCTTTTTTTTATCCAGTCTCCCTGCAAGCAGTAAACTAGTGCATCAGGGATATGTTTCATACAGCCCTCCCTGCTGTGCTAACTCACGATATGCAGGGAGTCATCTATGCTGGGGAAACATTTGAAGACAACCAGGAGACCGGTTTCGATGAAGCCCTCCTATGCTCAGAGTTGCCACATCCCACATCCAGACTGCAGTCACGAAAGGGGATGGCTGGCAAGGGGCGAATCAGACGCTTCCTGGAGAGAAAGGCGGATCGCAGGCACAGCAAATCTTACCATAGACCACTTGGGGTTCTCTTTGCTGCTGGAAGAATCATAGTGAGGATCTGTTTTGTCAAACTGAGTGTGATCCGGATAGGCTTCCTTCGTTATCTGGAATTTGGGAGAGAAGGATAGAGAGGGAGAAGGTTGAGTCACGAACTGAGGATGGCTGAAGAAGAGAAGTCGTAGCTTAAGAGAGACGCAGTTCACACATGCTGATGACTCCAGCTTGCCTACATGGACCAAATCTGAATTCAGATGCAGGGGAATGGATCTGCCTTCCAGATAGGTCTGGATTATAACTCCCATTATCCCCCAACTATGGGCCGGGGATGGTGGGAGATGGAGTCCTGCATCTGGAGAAAGAAAGGTTCCCCACAACAGTTTTAGACATTCCATGGATTGAAATCTACCCACTTTCAAACCAATAGTCTGTAATCCTCCGAATGCAGCACTATATTTTAAGAGTGATGCTGTACACACATAGAAATCTGCTCTCACCTTGACAATGCCAGCAATCCCAGGTCCTTTGCAATTACTGTGATAGAAGAAAGCCTCCTGGCCAACTTTCATGGCCCTCAAGAAATTCCGTGCCTGTCGGAGAGCGAAGCGGTTTTACACCCACATGAGAAACAAGGCTACCGATCAACGCTTCTACTATAGCTTCAGATTTCAGAGGAGAGGACACTGGTTAACAATGTGGGAAAGCTTCCATTTTTTTAAAAAAAAGATGACAACTCCCACAGACCGACAGCAAAAATGTGATCCACTACTCCAGGTAGCAACTTCAGATCATAGTTACTACAAACCATGGTTTGCAAATCACAGTTTCTGGTTCCGGTCAATTACAAACCATTGTTTATGAGTTCAAATCTCATACTCATCCATAGTTCAATTTTGCTTCACCCTTTTGGGGAACGACGCCTAATCTGAACTAAACAGGCACGTGTATGTGTTTTATTTTCCTCTCACCACAAATTCTGTATTTATGGTTACATTTCTATCCCATTGTTCTTGCAGGGAACTCAAAGTAGCCCATATGAAGCCCTACTCATTGTCTCTTCACAACACCCCTGAAAGTAGGCCAAGAGATAGTATTTGACCATGCTTTTCCAATGAGTTTTATGGGACCTGAAGAAGTCTCTCTTCTGTCCCAATCAAATAACCAGACCAATCTCTTTTTATTTAAAAATAGTAGTTATATCTCACCTTGTATCATGAGATCTCAGGGCACCGGTACCACAAAGCCAAGTTTTAAATGATTTAAAACAAAAGTCTTCAAAAATAACTCCTCTGAATCAGAAGCGCACAAGAAAACAAGAGCCAGAAAGGGGGACTCGTAAAAAACATGAGTTCGAATTTTGCAGCTTGCAAGATTTTTTTCCTCTTCCAAGGCTTAACAACTGAACACCCCCCCCCAAAGGCTACTGAAATAACCTGATTGCTACCGATGTCTTACCTGATAATTCCTGACTCCATCCCAGCATGCTGTCTGTTCGGGCTGAGCTTTTAAATCTTCTATGCCGAACTGGATAATCAAATTAAAAGCGTGTATTACCCAAGATCCTATAATTGCCATTTTCGTAAGGGATATTTATTAAAGCTGAAATACTGTACCCCATTTCCCTGGAAATACATCTTACTGAATTTAATAGGCTGGAATTCTAATCCAATGCTCACAAAAAAAGTTATATTTTGGTTGACAACTCCCATCCTCTCCTTAGCCAGCAAGCTGACTGGAGATTATGGAACAGCAGAAAAGAATTAAGATCTTGGAATCTCTGCTAGCAAATGGAATGGCTGCCCAATGGGGAACCTATAGCCTGTGAGAGGTTATTGGAATGCAACTTCTCTCCTCTTCTACCCCTCGGCAGGCCAACTCAGAGCAAAGCAAGTGTAAAAGTCACAGGTCCATAACCGACATACAGTGGACCCTCAACTTACGGAATTAATCCGTATTGGAATGGTGGCTGCAGGTCGAAAAGTCTGTAGGTCAAGGCTCCATTGACCTACAATGCATTGAAAACCGATTAATCCATAACCATCCATTTTTGTTCCATTTTGGTTTATTTTTTCCCCAGTCTGTAAGTCCATTCTCCGGCTGCAAGTCGAACCTAAATTTTGCGGCCGGAGAAGTCTGTAACTGGAAAAGTCTGTAAGTGGAGCCGTCTGTAAGTCGAGGGTCCACTGTACCAAATGGTGGCAAAGACATCTATATATGTGGCATTTAGCTTTTTTAGTCCATTGGGGATCAGTTCCAAGACACCCTCTCAGAATGCAACCTCTCTCCTCTTCTACCCCTCGGCAGGCCAGCTCAGAGCAAAGCAAGTGTAAAGAGCTGTTGGTCCATAACCAACATACCAGATGGTGGCAAAGATATGTGGCATTCAGCTTTTGTAGTCCATTGTGCCACATGGAAGAGGCTCTAGATTAAGTGCTGTGCAGTAGGACCACAGTATCTGTGGGGGATCAGGTGGCAAAGACATCTATATATGTGGCATTTAGCTTTTGTAGTCCATTGGGGATCAGTTCCAAGACACCCTCTCACAGATGCCAAAGCCCCATGGATAATACCCAACTTTGGATGGATGGATGGATGGATGGATGGATGGATGGATGGATGGATGGATGGATGGATGGATGGATGGATGGATGGATGGATGGATGGATAGATAGATAGATAGATAGATAGATAGATAGATAGATAGATAGATAGATAGATAGATAGATAGATAGATAGATAGATAGATAGATAGATAGATAGATAGATAGATAGACAGACAGACACAGACAGACAGACAGACAGGTCTCTGCCTCCCTCTAGTGGCCAGTTCTGGTAATTACATCATGGAAATATGTATTTCTGGGTTGTATGTTTAACATTTTTAATATTTTCAGACTATGGATAAGTGAAACTGTGGATAGTGATCCTGTGGATGTGGGGGATCTTACTGTATATTTTTAATTTCCAATCACCATCGCACGCATAATTATGGAAGATTATTTGCTTACTTTCACATCCACTCCTTTCTCCAACCTGCTCTCAGGCTCTGATTTCATAAGCCAGTGAGTATACATTTTCTTGCTTCCTTCCTGCTTGGCACCAACTTCTCCTTGAGCGCTTTCAGGAACATTTCTTGATTCCACCCTTTTGGTTTTGACTCTGGATGATCGAGATTCCTCACTGTTCTTCTGGGCCTCTCCTTTGGCTGCTTTAGATGCAGGTTCTTTTACAGCTGAAAGCAAGCGAAAGTAATAGGTAAGGCCACAGAACTATTATGAATTTATCCAATAATTTATTATTTATTTTTCTTAAGGAACAGGAATGTTCACTTTGTGGGCCTTAGCTAAATGATAACAATCCCCATGCTGTTTGGTTTTTAAGTGAAAGAGAAAATGGAGAAACAAAAAGCAAGTCTGGAGCATTGCTAAATATATTTTTATCTCCATTCTGTGGATCTCTCACTTTTCCTAATGATGCTTGTGGTGTGGCAAGCAATAATTATGTATATACTGTTTGCTAGCAGCTTGATACTTGCAAGATGCATTAAGTAGTGGTGCAGTGATGTTACGGAACACACACAAACATTCCAACTTCTCAGGGAGAACATGCCAGCCACAGAATGTCACCCCTGTACCTCCTGTGAGGCACACAAAGGCCATGTAGGACTGGAGGAAGAAAACAAACTCACATGTAAACACCTCCATTCGAGACCTACGTATGTCAGGGAAGTAAATGCATTGCTGGCATGAGATGAGGGATGGAGACTGGAATGCTGATATGAAAAAAGGTCAGACTGAAAAGTCTTTGGGGAAAAGAATGCTCAGAAGGATGCTGGCCCTCCCAGCCCAACAAGATCCTTTATGTAAATCTTTGTGTGTCTTGTGGCACCTCAAACCCCCGGCCAGTTTTTATATAGCATATGTTTCCATGGACCGCCGCCTACTTCATCAGACGCACTCAGGAAAAAGCTTTATTTATCTCTGTGTTGCTACCCACGCTCCTGCTGAAATGTTATAGATTTTCCTAAATTATTTGCACGCATCTAGCTTAAAAAGGCAAGATGTTGTGGATTTTAAGTTACTAGAAACTCCGCACTCAGGAGAATGACCAGCGGGCCTTGTTCTCCCCCCCCCCACTGACCTGTTGAGGTTGCTCTTCTTCTTTTCTTGCCACGGGGAGGCATTTTCTCAAAGCACGGAAGGTACCCGGACACCTGTGGAAACAATCACACATGTTGTGCTCAAAATCCAGCCGTTGGTTGGGAGATTCTGGAACCTGTAGATCATACAATATTTCCAAGTTCTGGTCATGCTGCAGTTCCAGAGAAAACAGGAGGCATTTCTGCATCTCATGGGCAAGATTTTTATTGCTTCTCTCCATGGCTGCAAAACCCAGGATGAGTCCTGGGGAGCAATACAGGACTGCAGAGTATGTGATTTTTTTAAAAAGGGGAAACATCTTGAAATTTCATATAACGGTCCCATCACGGCTTATTTATATGGAAAGGGTCAGCCAGAGGTTGTCAGAATGCATTGCAATGCACAGGAAAAAGCAGTCACATTAAAGAACAAAAGGAAATACACGTGTTGCAAAACAGAGAAACTAAAAGAAAAAAAATTAAACAACAATGGAAGGGGGAAGGTGGTTAATATAAGGTTACAGAATGCAGAGTTTGGGCTGCTTAGACTTGGAAGGGGATTGCCTCTGGGCTAATTTATTTAAGTTCTTTCTCACTTCTTAACTAAATGGGGGAATGTAATGGCCACAGCCTTTGTAACAACCTACAACTTGGCTTACATGTAACACAATCTCATACAATTCAACAAACTACCCAATACAGATTTATCTGAGCTCATCCATCATTCACCAGAGTTGGACGTATTTCTAAATAAATACAGAAAACAATTAATTTGTTCCATAGCTCTGTTTCTTTAAACCATCACTTAAATTTTTTTTAACCTGTTTCTCTCTTGGTGGCCTCTTTGTCCAGCAGAAATGAAGTATTATCTGACAGTGGCTTTGGGATTTCTGCCCTCCCGGCTCAACCCTGCGGCTTGCAGAGAGGTAGGTAAAAAGAAAAAGAAGTTGAGGTAACTCAAGCAAGTGAGCCAAACTACATCATGCCATACTTTTGAAATAGATGGAGCTGCTAACTGTTGCTTTCCAACAGGAGCATGACTGAAGGATGTATCCATGAGAACCAAGTCCTCTGTGTGTGTGTGTGTGTGTGTGTGTGTGTGTGTGTAAGGTGCTTAGCTTACCTGTTAATTATTTATGTGATGAAATAAATATGCAATTGTTGACTTTGGCTCTTAATGATCAGAGGACTCTTCTTCAGCTCCCGTCTGCGCCAGCTGCTCACTGACAGCCCTTCCCTTGCACGCTCGCAGTCTATCTCCAGGAAAAAGCTTGCACTTCTGAACACACTCAGGCCAATTTTAGTTCGGAGGACAAATAAGAGTTATGCAAACCGCGCCTACGCCTTTAAGACCGGCCCCCTGCCTCGGGACCAATGAGAAGCCGCCTCCCGGATTCAGACCAACACCGCAACTCCCAGAAGCCCCAGCAGGCCCGCGCTCTCCCTTCTGGGAAGTGTAGTCTCCTTTCCGCCGGACGTATAAAGGGGGTGGAGAGGCACCGCGGGGAGAGAAAGACCACAACTCCCACAAGGCCGCGCGGCGGCGGCGGCGGCGTGTCCTGCCAGGAGGGAGGCTATCTGAGACCCTGGGCTCCATGGCTTGGCGGAGCTTCTGCCGGCTGGGGTCCCCGCTGCGGGGCGGCCCCGGGTGGAGGCGGGCGTGGGGCCGGCGGAGCGTCGCCTCCTGCATAGACCGTGAGAGGAGGACCCGGTCGTGTGCACGGGGGGGGGGGTTGGCAGGGAAGCGGGGGGGGGG